CATATATATATCTCACTATCGAAAAAGACTATATTCTTAAATAAAGAATATATTCTTAATTTCAGAAGAATATCATCTAAAATCTTGAAGAAGATTTTTTAAGTATAAAATCTTCTACTTACGAGAATATAATTTTTTCGGTGTATACATTGTGTTCAATTATTATACGAACCATACGACGCGCGCTGAAAGCCGGCGCTGTCGTAACGCCAGGAGGACATCATCACGTTCTGGGCGTAAAACGGCGCGGCCGCAAGCGCGGTCGAGTGCGGATGCGCCGCGTGCGGATGGGCCGCGTGCGGATGACCGGGTCCGGCGTGCGGGCCCATCGCCGCCGCGGTGCCGCTCGTGTGGCCGGCGAGCGCGTGATGCGCCGCGTACGTCTCCACCCCGTGCTGCCAGGATGCCGTTTTCTCCCTTTTTTGAAAAATTCGAAAAGATTACGTGACAATAATTATTACAAGTTCGTTTTTTTTTTTTTTTTTCCAACACGAGTTAGCGCGACGCGTTACTTTGCGAACTGTGTTCTTTTAGATTCTTGCGTAAAACCGCGTTACAGAGAAAACTCGTGAGAAGTTACACGTACCATGCGGGCGAGGGTGAAGTAGGAAAGGAATGGTACTGCGCCGTGGCTGCGGACGGTATAGCCGGTCTGGACGAGGGAACGTAAACGGGCGCTTGGAGTTGCTGTCCGTGTTGCTGCTGCTGCTGCTGAGATTGCTGTTGGTAATCGGATCCTGCGCCGTACCCGCCGCTCCCACCCCCGTGGAACATCCTCCCCGAGAGCTGCTACCACCACGGCATCTGTGGGAAAAAATTATATCGCGAATGTGTAAAAAAATCGGAAAAGCGTATACGTTTCGATACATTCGCGCGCGACACATATTTGAGTCAAATACTCAAATTTTGATTTTGAGTGGCGTGAATTCCATTAAACAGAAAAGAGAATTTTTCAGATATATACCCAACAAATAACGCGACAGATAACGAAGAAACATAGACAGTGTCGTGATAAAATCACTCAGCTACCGCACGAAGAGTGTATCTTTCTCTGTACAAACACGAGAAAGCTACTAACATTCTGTGATAATGGTTCCCTTTAGACAATAAAACCGGCTCGGGCATATATTGAGGCATGTTTGAGGGTTTCATGTCAGAAAACGAGTATAAACGTGGCGTGGACCAGTATAATGGCCGTGAGACCAATGGATGGTCGTGAAAAAAAAAAAAAAAATGTCGAGTTCCGTCACGGTCGCGAGACGAGTCTGTCGCCCGTTCGATTTCGATGGTCGCGGAATCGAAAAAGTCTCTCCTTGGAGATTCAAAGACAAAAACGAATAATTGAGAACTATATTTCGTTTTTCCGATTAATTGAACAAATTATCACATTGATCAATTGACATTGTCACATTTTGTTAATGAAAATCATATCTCAATTAATGAAAATCATATCTCAATTAATGAGATATGTGATTTTCAGCATTCGAGAACGTTGTCGGAGACTTCTCGCGCGAAATTTACGACGCGGTGCGGATTTTACAACGATATTTAACGAGACGCTGCGTCGAAAAGAATATACGTTTATCCCGCGTTATTGTTAGAAACGAAAATGGCGCGCGTACACATCGCTATCCTGTTGGCGCAACGAGCCATTTCGGTACGTGAGTTCTATGCCGCCCACGGGTCTTATTGTCGGGGCTATACGCGCGCATCTCTTCTCGAGAATACCGCGTCGCGGCTTCTCGCCGTATCTACGCATTCCACTTTGAGCACGATTCATGGAACACGAGGCGATTTGCACCGCGCGAAATTTAGAAAAAGAACGATCGCCAAGTGTGGAAGAGAAGATATATGATGCGTGAACTTTTTGTTTTTTGTTTGACAACAAAACAAATGCGTTTTAATCGCGTTTCATTAATTTTCAGAGAAACCTTATCGATCGGAACTTCGAATACAAATTCTCATCTTTTGATATCGCATATTTTTATTGATTTTTTGACAAAATCTCTGAATCGCGCCCAGACTTTCAAAACAAACAAACAAACAAATTGTCGATAAAATATTGATACATAAATTATATCGCGTAATCAGTTATTGTAGTTTGCCGTAACAATATTGTCAGTTAGTTTTTAGCGAAGAGTATCGATATATTACTCAATGAAATATATATTTAAGCATCGCGAGATACTCCAGTGACGAAGTGGTGCAGATAGAATTTTCATACGCGCCTTGCCGCCCACGAACATCCCATTGTCCGTCGACTCGCGTTCGCCGAGGAAGCGTCGCCATAGTCGACGTGTGTCTCACGTCGGGAATTGGCTCTCGTCGCGCGCTTCGGGAAGAACCTCCGAACGCAAAGTGGAGAATAAGGTAAGCAATTTACGACACACCATTCGACGCGTAAAAAAAAAAAAAAAATAGGAAATAAAACGAATTTCACTAACTAAAAGGACACTAGAGAAAAAATCCCGGAGATTGTGTACATCGTGATAGTAAAATCACATGTGTTTTTACACGCTGTTTTTTGTAACTTAGTGTCACTGCACTTTTTCTTTTTATAAATTATAAAAAAATATATAGTAAACCAACACGGCAAAGAAATCTTGAATTTGCACTCAAGTATTTTTTTTTTTCTATATACAATATTTATCAGAATGTAAAGTTGAATACACTCCGCGAGTTGAACATAAGCCGCGAAGCTTGGGGCGCAAAGTCCGAAGGTGCCGTCGCTTTGCGCGAGAAGGGGAAACCCCCGCGCGCGCGCGCGCGCAAGATATATATGTATATATATATATACCCGTGAGTCCTGAGAAGAAAAGTAGGAGAAATCGCATACGCTCGCGTGGTGGGGATCAAATGATGATACACGCTTCGGAAGAGAAAGACAGAACAAACGCAATCCAGCGAATAAAGGCATTGCTCGAAGGAGAAGAGAGAGAGAGAGAGAAAAAAAGAGAGTCGCGCAGACGCGTCTCCACCTTCGGCAACTCGGTTGCGGAGATACCGATAGCGGCCATCGCGGGGCCACGAATAAGCCCTCCGTGTAGGCGGGTCCAAAGCTCTCCTTTCGTCGCGTGTGTGGCGCGTTCTCGATGCATGTGGTTCCGACCGTGCGGCGGCGCGCATGCGATCCGCCGCTTTTTAATCCGCCGCACGGTCAAGGCGGATGATTGATCGGACCGGATTCGATTTCAGAGAGCGCCATAAATGAGAATCCGCTACCAACTTAACGCGCGAGATAAAACTGTCGAACGCACACTTGGCGAGTAGATCCCGCGCGGATCAATTAAACGTATCGTATGGTGTTATTTTTATCCTGTATCTCGCTCTCTTATGTTATCTTCCATCATAGAAGACAGAATTTGCGATATTATACGACGAGATCGATACATGTGATTTTTTTGATAAAAAATATATATGTTTGGGTATTTGTAAACAAATAGATATACAATATTCTTTTCTCAGGTGAAAAAATTTTTTTTTGAATTTCGAACTGTGTTTGAATTCAGATGTCGTTCGCGCCATTTGACGCCCGCGATCGACACCGAGATCGCAAAGAATCGCGAAAGTCGCCGCGACCTATTAAATTATACATTTACCTTACGCCGATAAAACCAGTACCGCAAAGTCACCGAGGTATCGCCTGGCGACTTCGCAGTGATGGTCATAAATTAAACATCTGTGTGTTCCGAGCTACCGGAATTGCAGTTGCGGTAGCTCGCGTTGGGTTTCTCGCGAGCGAGGGAGAGAGAGAGAGAGAGAGAGAGAGAGAGAGAGAGAGAGAGTTCGCGCATGAATTCCGTGGCAAGTATAACTAATATCAATATCGTGTGCGTTGATTAGATAACGTCATCGCGGACTGGTTTATGTCTGGTTACCATGTAACTTTGTTGCGCGAATATTTTAATCGCACGTGAAGTTTCCGGGGGAGGGCGTGTTTGTGTGACGTGAAGGAAAATAAAAATATATCAGAGTGATATATTTACAAATAATTGTGATAACGGAAGTAGTTTTTGAAAAATCTCACGCACGAGTTTTACATGTCATTTAATGAGTCAGTTTATTTCCGAGAGAAAACAAAAACACTAAGATAATTAATTTTTTTGCCTTTCGTCGTCCAATCTTCGAGATATCGACGTCGCGTATCCAAGTTTTTTTTTTTTTTAACAAATAATGAATTTTACATCAATTTATTTATCTGTGTAACTGCGCAAGGGCATGTCATAAAGCGATACGCAGTTTACGCGTGTACAAGTGTTTCGCGGGAATCAATGTTGTTGTTCAGAAGAACAACAATAATTGTTCGATGAATCAACGCGAACTCATTCACAACTTTTTTGGATTTTTTTTTTCTATGTGTCGATTTTTCTAATTGTCGCTAATGACGTTGCTTGACGAAGCGTAACAAGTGGCGACTTACAGCTTATCTCAATTTGCGATATGAAAAACAACGTAATATCAAACGTGTGCCATAACGACAGCAATAAAATTAGCATAACTTAACTCGACATCGGGAGTCAATTCGATATCGCTTGACAACGTTTTGTAAAAAAAAATCGCGCAACCTTGTCGACAACGAGACAAAATCAATTTATCCTTCCGCTTCGTCGAATCGATAACGAGTGCAACGAGTACAATTATCAATGTACACGTTTTCGATACAAAAGTATCGAAACTGTTTGCGTAAATCGTTGTTGAACTGATTTACAACAACGCGGCGAGCGTTACCGAGTTTCTTATTGGTCAAAAAAACTCTAGCAGCGCGTATCTTGTTTATTTAAAAACTGCACAAAAACAATACAATATATCGTGCGTGTGTAATAAATTAATAAAACAACAACAATGCGTTGCAACAACTTGTTGTTCGAAAATTCTCATTTGTTTTTATTAAAAAAACAAATTACAAAAATAATGTTACACCCGCGAATTGAAAAATACGATAAATAAATGTTTCTTTAACTGTGTGATTGTTATTCACAGTGATGTTTAAAAAAAAACTAAAGCTGTGTTGAGATATCGCGCGTCTTCCGTCGGTCGCTTTATTATTCATTAACCCGCGCGGCTTAATCGGTGTGAAAGGGCGGCACAGCCATGTGTCACGCGATCCGATGAAAGCTAATTTATTATCCGTTGCGTGATTCTTCTCCGAGTGGTTTTGCCTGTATTACGATTAGCTCTGTACGTAGGACTATTGTTGAAAAAAATACGGTTGGATTAAGGGTCGGAATCTGACGTGAAAAAATGTGCGTAAATTAACGAGTAAAAGTAAAAAAAAAAAAAAAAAAAAAAACTGTGTTTCGAGTTTGTTGTTTTATTGAATGTAAAAAACAATATTAAATTAAATTAAATTTACTATTGGAGATTAAAAAATTTAAATTTTTTTGCGAGTCACTCGCTAATTTCGATGCGAACACGCGGTTATTTGCCGAGACAACTGCACTCTCGCAATAAAAAAAAAAACAGCGTATCTTCTCATTATAACAAAAAAAACAAAAAAAAAAATTGTGATTTATTTATTCGACGATATATTATTAGTTGTGTATATTTATACATCGACTGGTTGGTTTTATATAAAATGTAGATAATATCTGTCACTTTGTGATCTATACATATAATTGTCATTGCTGCTGAATATTTATAATCGCGGGATACATTTTGTCGAGGGTGAGGGGAGGGAGGGGAAACGCGCACAATCAACGCGCGACATATATTACGAAATCGCGTGTGCAAATAACGGGAGGTGATAATTAACGCTTAACGATTGTAAATCAACACTGTGAGCAATATAAAATTTATTGAGTACT